TGTGTAGATATAGGTACTTGTGATATAATATGGCTGTTTAAAGATAAATCAGGTAGGATGGAAGTAGGATTAGAGGGATTTGATCTAAGAGAAAGTTTGTAAAAGATGGGAAGAAGATAAGGATGGATAACAGTATGATTAGGTAAGAGAGAGTCATTTGGAGGATATATATGGGTTTTATCATAAGTATTGCTAACAGAAAAAGTAATACTAGAGACAGTATTATTATAGTTATATTTGTCAATATGTTGTATAAGAGATTGAATCATTTGACCATAAGGAAGAAATGGTAAGTTGTAATAAACAAGGAATTTGTTGAAACATATATGAAGATCATAGGGGCTTAAAGATATTGAGAATGATCTTCTGAGATTGTCTTCTACAGAATCGATTACTGTATGCTCGGCTCTAACTGCTGTGCAAGGTACCAAAGTCTGCCCTGTATATTGGATTTGACTGTCATAATCTTGGCCTTCCACATAGTTTATCTCTTACTTATTCTACTAATAAACTTATAAAATAATATATACTTTAACAATTTATTAGCTCTAAAAAATATTTAATTATTTCTTTTTTATATAAATTTTTACATATTAAAAACTGAGATATTTTATTTATTATTCACTATTTATTTAAATAAAATCTCTTAATATACTTTTTCATAAAGTTAAATTTTACTCTAATAATTCTTTTTATAATCAAGCCAATCTCTTAGCCAAATAAGGTACTATTAAATAACTAATTAAATCTAACTTTACAATATTATTTTCTGATTATTTTAAAGAATACAATTATATTTCTTAATTTGCAAATTATTGCAAACAAATTTATTTACATTAATTTTAAATTTTCAGATCTTATCTAATTTTTTAATTTAATTATAAAACTGTAATAAAATTTTTTATTTTTTAAATAAAATATAAAATACTTTTAAAATTATTAATTTTATTTTATTATTACTAAAAATTAAATTTAATTTAGTTTAAAATATATGTTTTTTTTTTAATTTACTAAAATTAAAAGTTATAAATAAATTATTTTATTAAAAATTAAAACTATTGATTTTAACTATATATTTATAAAAGCAAAGTTAAAGAATTAGTTACAATTTATAACTTTTATTAATAACACAAAAGAGAATAAAACAAATGTTTACTTTAAATTAAAACATTATTATTTATTAATTTTTAGATAAAATATAATATATATACATAAATATCTATTATATATACATATGTTCTTTTATACTTTACTAATATTTTATGCTTTATATATATATTGTAAATATCCTTTTTTACTTTTCATTTATTATTGTTATTATTATTAAATGCCTTAGCCAAGTTCTTAGCATGGTCTTTTATTTATATACAAGTTTTTAAGAATTAAATAGCAGAAATAGAGCTTAAGCTTATTATTAGATATGCTTTGTGTTTTTGCTAAATTAGTATAACTGCTTATAGTTTTTTTTCTTTATTTTTGTTCAGAACTTAAAAATAAAAACAAGGTTATAACTTGGTTGCTTCAAAGTAAGTGCATTGTTTCTTTTTTTTATTGATATCATTTGTGCTTATATAGCTTTTTTAAATTGTCTAAATAAATCATAAGTGTATTAATATTTACTTTTAGGTGCCTTATTTATAAAAAGTTTTACAGATCTTAAAGCTTAAATTGGATACTCTCTAGCATGTATTCATTATACAAAGAAATCTTTTTAAATACACCTCATTTGGACCAAACTCTTTGCAATATGCATTTAGAAAACAATAAGAAAATTGCATTTGGAAAATAAGTATATATTTGAACCAAAGGTTACTAGTATATTAATGGTAGTAATGCATTTAAAAAGATACCTTTAAAAAGTTCTCTGTATTACCTTTTGCTTCTAAGTGAATAGAAAACTTAGAGTATATCTGAATAAATATATAGCTTTTTTTTTTAAACTCTTAAAATAGACTAACAAATTATCTCTTTTTCTAACATAAAGCTTAAATATAGGTTTTGTTATTCTAAAATTCATTATTATATTACCTTTATTCTTTATTATGCAATAGATCTTTAAGTAAATTATAGTTTCTTTTTCTTTTTTTTAAATTATGTAAATAATAAAACAGATTTGAAGTAACAATGATGTTTTTTTTTGTTTTATTAGGTTCTTTATAGAAATATTCTTACAGAAAATGTTGTTATTATAAATGATCAATTTGTAGTAAAAGATTTTAAAGTATTATAAGCATAATATCATTATCATTATATTTAAAGTTTTAACAGATTTTTACTATTAGTAATCAATTCTATTATTTTATATTCAGAACTACTTATAACATTTTAATACTATTTCAAGATTAAACTTTCACTAGAATTTTTATCTTTAGCAGATTTTAAGTATTATTAAATAATTTTTAAAAATATTTACTTATGTTATAATTAATTTTAATATTAAACTTTTTATCAGGAAAAGATCTGAATAAGTTGAATTTATATTTAGCTATGATAAAGTATTTGGCTAATATGCTATTGTATATAGAGTGTAAGAGAATAGTATTATATAATCTATATTTAATAGTCAGTATGATTACTGTATTAATGATATATGTTATTTGTTTTCTAGTAATTTTTTTAGTATTAGTAATATTGATTAGTTAGATTACTTTAGTTTAAATTAGCTGATCTTATTTAAATATAGATCTGTTAAGTATAAATTAGTAGTCTAGAAATTTGAATGATTGGTTGACTAGAATAGGTTTAATTAATAAATCAAAGAAAAAAGTTCAACAGTAGATAATGTGTTAAAAACCAGAATAGATTTAACTGAATTAATTGTATATTTGTTATATGATACTATTTTGATAATTGATTCAAGTTCATTTTTGGATTGTACTATTCAGAGAGTATTGTCTATGTATACCAATACAGATATAGAGATTGTAAGTTTTGTAGTTAGAATTAAAAGAGATTAGTTTTCTATAAGATATATAGAGTGTATTTATAAAAATGATTAGCAATTTTACTAATAAGAAGATCATAGTAAATTCTTCAGAAAAGTAATGTAATTGTCATTTTTTAATTAATATCATTTTTAATTGTATAAGAATTTATGAGTCCAAAATTAGTTATAACATGATTATAATGATCAATAAGATTAGTTAGAATTTTAATAAGATGTTAGAACATTTGTAGTTATAATAAGGATTTTTCAAAAAGATTAAGATTGACAGAGTCATAGACCTTATTCATGTCTTGTGATAGTAGTCAGAGTTATTTAGAGTTGTAAAAAGTATCTTCTATAATATTATTTAAGATATGTATTGGAATTGATATACTATTACCAGAGAGGATAATATAATTGTATGAAGATAGAATAGAGTATTGAATAAATATACTATTAAGTCTATTAGTAAGAAATTTTATATAAAATTTTTTAATATGTTCAAGAAGGCTGATAGATCTAGTATTAGTAAGGTTATTATCAAATATAGGTTTTTTGAATATTAGGAATATTCTTCTTTCTTTCTATTGCTTAGATATGTATTTTAGTTTAAGACATTTGTTGAATAATATAGTTATAACTGTTATAAATATAAATTTTGCATGTTTTAACATTTTGTAACTAATACCTAATAGACCATAGGTTTTGTTATTAGAAAATTAGTTTAGAGTTGTAGAAATTTTCTCTTCAGTAAAATTAGTAAGAACCTGTTGATACCAATCAGATTCAATATCAACTTTGGATTAATATTCATCTGACTAAGAAAAAAAAATTTTTAATAAATAAATATATTAAAATTAATAATAATTTTTTATTAATCTGTTTCTCTAATATAAACATAGATAAAATATTCTAGATAGTCTACAACTTCAAAAAGATTAATGAAATGAAATTTTTATGATTTATAAATCAGAAACTATTTTTTGAAGAAAGATGAATTGGAATATGAGATTTATCCATTACTCCAATGATATTAGGTAAGTTATTTTCTAAGCCTGATATTCCATGTTCAAACCCTTGTGTTATAGTTGCTAATTTTGATCCTTGTGACCACATTATTTTTCCTTGTTCTATATCTAATAATGCTTTCAAAAACCTATCAGTAAAGTGACATACTGATTCTTGACTTATTCTAAGAGTTTGTTCTAGTATTCGAATACCTGTTCTATTAGCAAACTGCCATAATACAATTGCAATTTGCTTTCAAACAAGTATGGAATTAGGTGCTTCATAACTAAAAGCTGAATGAGCCTCCAATTTAGCAACAATTGTATTAAATGTAACAAGTTTAATTCGAAAATGTTGCCAAAATGAGTTATAACCTTCATTATCAGCTAAATTCAGAAAGATATCAATCCAAAATCCTCCAGTCTTTGGTCTTTGTTAAAGCTGAGCTCTTATATTAGGAGAAAAAAATGCCAATGGAATTGTCATATTTGTTGTCATATTAGCGAAGATTAGAAGATGGCAGGTATCAGTTATTTTTTTTTTGAATCTCCTGATGTTTCTTATTTGCTTTAAATGTTTCCAGTATAAAAAGTAACAAAATAATACATTGTTGTTGACAGTGATCCATGTTTTTATTTATGTTGAACGTTCTTAGATAAAGCGAAAGCGAAAGAATAAATATTCATATAATATAAATTACTGACATATTAAAATAATACTATTATATTAATTTATTAATG